TGACACCTCGGTGTGCAGATCTGACCTCTCACCTGGTTAAGCATGAGGTAAAGTGGTAGCCTTTTGTTTAGAAGCATATCAGGGACTCAAAAGATCCAAGGGCAACAAAGATTTTGAAGCAGTTACTGCATTAGAATACGTAGTGATTCTACTGAGATCAGCCAGGTGAACCTCATAGAATGAGTTCCCTGATTGGACCAGATTAACATCCCCATCTGGAAGCTCCAGCTGACAGATAAATACATGAGTGGCAGAGGTACTGCTCACTCTGAGACCTGGCTCTCACAAAGCTGGATCCGTGTCAAGGACTCTCCATGTGTAAATAAGGGGTGACTTGCTGATGGGATACCAGCCTCTGTGGAGTTATTTCAGTGGCAATAAGAACAAAGCATGCTCCTGAAGAAATTCATCTGAGTTGGGGGTAAGCATTTCTGGCATCATGCTGTTATTTGGGAAGCTGGAGTCATTTGAGCCTGCCATAGACGACTGGGCCCAGTATGTGGAAGCAATGAGTTACTTTTTCCAGGAAAATGGCATTGGGACACATGTAATTCTCCTGACAGCTTGTGGACCCACAGCTTTTTTGGTTCTGAGAAGTCTGATTTTTCCCTGAGGCACCAAATACTAAAACGTTTCAACAGTTGATGGATTTAGTTAAGGAATATTATGACCCTCAGGAATATTATGACCCTAAGCCTCCTCTAATTCTGAGTCGCTCTTGTTTTTACTCAGCAATTCGAGAACTAGGAAAATCCATGTCAGGAGTTTTGACTAGGTTAAGATGACTGGCAGAGGCTCATGACTATGTTTTAACTCTTAATGAGATGCTGAGAGACCGTTTGGCATGTAGGATTAATGATGTAACCATGCAAAAGTACCCAACTGGACTTCAAACAGGCACTACAACTGGCTTTGTCATTGGAAAATGCAGCAATTGGAACATATGACTTACAGGGTATTCTGATGGAAGTGGACACCCAGGCCAGTCTGACTGAGCTTGGGGGATATTACTTGAGTAAAGACAATTGCATAGCCTCACTCAGGACATATCCTGAACAGAGGGACTCTAGGTCAGCCTGTAGCAAAATCCCAAAACAATGCCAAGTCTTGGCTAAACAGCTAAAATTTTCTTCAGGCCAGCATTATAAATGCTGCTGGTATGGGGACTCAAAGTGCCACTGGGCCTAAATTGAGTAAGAGAACTCATTGAAAAGACCACCTCCATTTGGTTTGGAACAGTTAAATTGCTTAGCAAAATCCAACCAAAATAAACCTGGTTAAATAGTCCCCCATTTATAAGAGAGGTTGATACCATTGGTTCTGCGATCACTGAAACAGCTGCAGTCTTTAACAGAATTCAGTCTGGACTGTAACCCTTAAGTTTGTGCAAGACCTCGGCTAGATGGACAACCTATACCAGGGAACATTTTACAGATTAAGGGTACAACTTCGGTTCCAGTCTCTTATGAGAAGCGGTTGGTTCAGTCACCACTGATTGTGGTAAAAGGCTTGGAACCAAGCTTGATGGGACAAAATTGGTTGAGAGATTCACCTAGATTGGCTGAACATTTTTCAATTAGAAAATAGCTACCTGAGTGAAGTCCTGATTAAATACTCGGAAGTTTTTCAGGAGGTTTAGGGACTATTAAAGGTTACCTTGCATGTTGACCAGGAAGCAATTCCATGATTCTGCAAGGCCCATCCAGTGCCTTTTTCCTTATGGGAAAGGGTGCAGGCAGAAATCAGAAGGCTGAAAAGCAAAGGAATCATCAAGCGAGTGCCACTTGAGGAATGGGCAGCGCCCATCGAACAACTGTGAAGCCTGACAGGGCCATCACAACAAGAATTGAAACCTTTTTGGACCAGTAGAGACCGATCACTGTAGGACAACATATTATTGGGAGCCACAGTGACTGTCCTCAGCAAAGGTCGCTGCCAGATACTGGCTCAACCCTACCATGGCCATCCAGGGTTTTCCAAACTGAAGATGTTGGGGAGAAGGTGTCTGGTGGCCAGGGTTGGTGGGGCAGCGCCAATAAGGGCAAAACTACCACCAGCAGCTCCCTCACATTCACAGCAAAGGCTGGGTAAACCCTGGAGTCAGTTACACATCAACTATGCAGGTGCTTTCATGGGCTTAACGTTCTTAGTCATTGTGGACACCCACTCAAAGTAGCTGGATGTGCACAGAGCTCATTCATCAAGCAAGGAAACAACGATGGAAAAACTGTACACATCTTTTATAACATGCAGATTCCTGTAAGTGTTGGTCACAGATAACAAGCCATTGTTTACCAGCAGGGAATTTGAGTATCCTAAAGTGGAACAGCTTTTGACAATAAAGGGCAATTCCATACCATCAATCATCCAACAGTCTAGCAGAAAGAGCAGGCCAGTGTTGGGTGAAACAGCCAATGCCAGATACAATATTCTGCTAAATGAGAGAGACAATTTACTTCAGGGACGCGGTTTGGCACAGGAATCAAGCTTTGCTGGAAAAGCCAGCATTTATTGCCCGATCCTAATCCTCCTCCAGACAGACTACCCTCTACCAGCTCAGTAAGATGAGTTGCCCACTTGAGAGCCCATCATAGCAGGTAAACTGACAAATTTCTGAGTCCATTACATCCTAGACACAGCTAGCTAAACCGTAGCTGCATCCACTAGGCATTTATTGTCAAAAATCAGGCTTTGATTGAGAAAGAATAAAACTCGCATTTAATGTAGCACTCATCATGAACATAGGACTTTTGATCGGACACATCAATCAGAGAACCCACAACCTAGCTCTACCTTCCCCTCCCTCTTGTCAGGCTTCTAGGGGCCGTCACTTGATAATGGAGATCCAGGAACTTCGATCCACCTTTCCTTCTTATATTGGTGATAACTGAAGCAAAATATCACATTACCGTGTCTTCCAGCTAGCTAAAGTTAAAAATGTAGATCATACAACATGGAGATCAAACTAAACAATGTCCTATTCATTAGAAAACTGGTATTTGAAACATCATTTTGAACAACTGTATAAATAAGTCACAAAACTGTCCAGAGGAAAAAAGGGGGAAAAATTCTATTCTAGGCTACAACGGAGATACCAGGCTACTTGCAGAGAATTCATTCCTGGCTATACATCTTTCATAAACTCTATTCACAGCTCAGGATAGCTGCCATGAATTTGTAACCTTGCCCATCCATAATTGTCCTTTGTAGTTCTCCGCTCCTACTGACAATCTAGGAGGAATCACATCAGTTTGATGAATGAATTTCTAAAGGGGTGTGGTCTGAATACTCAATCATAATAAGGGAGGCAGAGATTAACAGAAACTTAATATTCTACAGCAGCAATCTATGAAAAGTCCAGTTCTTGACCAATTACGGATTGGAACTTGCCACGTCTTTCAAACCAGTAGCAAGTAAACTCAGTTTTTGACAAGTTTTAATGACTTGCAATAGTTTCTTTTCAAAATCATTGCCTCATGGAGATTCACATTATGGCCCTGAGGGGTGGGCCTGAGGCCATGTGCACACAATTCAATGGTAAATACTCTTATTAACAAGATAATTGTGCGAGGAAGGCAGTATTGTATGATCAAAGGGTCTCACATCCATGTACAATGCAGTGATGGACAATCCAATATGCAGGGTAGGGTGCATTGGTAACCAACAGGAGTCAATGGGTGCAGTGTACCTATGGCACTGCACCAATGTAGCTTTCCCTTGTTGTAAGAGCTTTATATTCAGTGTACAATACACTTTCTCCATCACCAGAATGTGACTGGCTGCATCTCCCCTCCCTCCAAAACCCTGATCTGTCCAATCCCATTGATGTGCATCTCAATGTCCCCACCAGCCTCCTCTCTGCCAGCTCTCAATCCTCACTAAACTTCACAGCTTGTGTTTCTTTCAGTGTATCCCCTCACATCAGTCTTACCGTCTCCAATGTTATGTACTAAGGGCAAGATGAAAAACACTTGATCAGGAGGGAAAAAAGGGAATTTTCAAAAATTAAAGGAGACACTTGGGTTCAGAGCCAAGTTCTCCAGGAGAGACAGTGAATGAGCCACATAAAACACTGAATTCACAGGTCTCCATCAGAGTGCCAGGAAGTGTGCTCAACTGGTCACTTTGAGAACCTGAGCCAAACAACTGCCTTGTCAACAAAGAAACATTCTTGCCTTTTGTTGTTGTTAATAATTTCTTCTCAGGGCTGTAGCTGATATGAAAAATACCACATTTATTCCTCAACCTCCGATACCATGAGCTGGTAGCAACTGATCTTTGGTTGCAGAAATTGTGGTGCAGAGAAGGTTTACCGAAATAATACCTGAAATTGTTTTTGGATCAGTGAAGGTTTACCAAAGTAATAGATGAATTGGGAGGAAGAGTTGGACAGGAGAGCCTTGTGCCTGCTGGTTTAGCTTGATTGAAATGTATATGATCCCTAGTGGTATTGACAAGTTTGAGGTGGAAAGGACGCTTTCTCATAAATGTAGAGCCTAAAAGGGTTCACCCGTTTAAACAAAACATTTTGCACAAAACGGGTACAAGTCTTTTGAGCACTCTTCCTGAAAACAGGGTGGAAGAGGCAGATCTTTAAGGTAAAGGTCGATAGATTCCTGTTGAGGAAGGGTGATGAAAGGTTATTAGGGGTAGCTTGAATGAGGATTTCAGGTTGCAATTAGATCAGCCATGATCTTATTAAAATGGTAGATCAAGCTATTGCTGCTTCTGTTATTCATTCATATATGGTAGTGTATCTTTTTATATCTAGCTTACAGGCAGAGGATAATTAAATTAATTATCATGTACTGAACAAGAACAAAATATGAGTTACAGAGTACAAACAAAACCCAATACAAAAAGCTTGCTTTCAAAACATCAAAACCTCTCAAAAGGCATTATATCCCCTGAAAGCACTATAATGCTCATTTTTATCGTTGTTGCAAATATCAAGCACGGTGCTAGCAGAACCATCAGTCTCCTGCTTCAAATTTACTCACCACTCTCTTTTCTCTGAAGTCAATGCCAACTGTTGTGATGAACTTGGAGTTGAATTTGGCATCGGTGTATTGATAGAGGAAGCTAGTTTTCCCAACTCCCGAATCTCCCAGGGCTAGGAATTTGATGAGGTAATCGTAGTCTCCATCAGACATAGTGAAAACTTAACGCTGACCTGCAAAGAAGAAAAAAGAATGAATGGAAAGAGACACTGACTCAAAAAAAAAGGTGACCAGGCTTTCTTCCTACCTGCCCATACCAACCAAGCCTCCTTAGTACGTGCCAGGCAGCATCGTAGGAGCAGGAAGGCTG